ACCCTAACCCCTCAACCCCAAAGCCCTAAACCGTCCTTTCCGAAGAACCAAGACTCTCGAGCCCGAGCCGAAACTACCAGATCCGTCAGCACAGCAATGGCACATGATCCCCCCCCACCCCCGCTGGGGGAAGGGGACTCCTGAGTAGAGAAGCCCTCAATATCTAAACCCCAAATGAAGTCAAAGCCATGGAACCGGAAGCCTCAAATCTTAAACCGTAAGTCTTATAGATTATAGACATTACATTAATTTTCCTCAGCAAGAGGAACGAAGAAAGCCCAAACCCCAAACCTTAAACCCTAAACCCCAAACCCTAAAACTTAAACCTTAAACCCACAGGTTTAAACTCTATACGCTCTTAAGCCATTTAGCCCGAGAGAGGCCCAAGCTAGCTCTGAGCACCTGTATAGTCGACATTTTTCCCCGAAGAGCAGATACAGAATATGTATATGTATACACATATTATATATATATATATATATATATATATATGTACAGATAGATAGATAGATAGATAGAGGGAGAGATAGAGAGAGTTTAATTTGGTTTTTCTTTACACCTCTGTTTGTTTATCTTATATCCATGGTAGTTAGACCTCAGGACTTCCGGGACCGCTACCCTGTGGACGACAGGGCATTTGGAGTGCCGTGGGGGGGGGGGGGTTCAGGGTTGGTTTACGGCTCAGGGTTCAGGATTTGGGGTCCAGGGTTTAGAGTTTAGGGTAGTTTAGTAGTTTATGGTTTAGGGTTTTGGTTTACGGTGTGAGTTTGGGGTTCAGGATTTCGTTTGGGAGGATGCTCTTCAGGTGGTTTGTCGGGGCCGTACCAGTGAATGCCGGATTGGGTAGCCACAAAGGTTCGATGATTGGTAATGCTACTACTGACATTGGTAATCGCACTTTTCCACTATGCCGTCGTAGTATCACTACTAGCAGCAGCAGCAGCAGCAGCAGCTGCAGCAGCTGCAGCACTCAAGTCACTCGCCATCTTCGTAATTTCTCCGAAACACTGCATGCATCATGTAAGTATGATGCCACCATCGCCATCAACGGAAGCACTTTCACCTTTGGCAGCCACCACCAGTACCGTGGCTGGGCTCTTATCACGACGACCACGCACCGCATCACCTTGAGTCCTCCGAGGTGCTGCTGTCGGCGACAAGCGACGTGCAGCAAGCCGTCTTGGAGCAGTTCCGGCCCAAGCGCGAAGGCGGGCAGGGTTTCAATTTGATTGCGCGTGCTTTGTGTTTTCGCATGTACTGTCACGGCTTGTAACTTGCTACCTTCATTTAAATGTGTACGCATACACACTAGACCACTTTCTATCGGGCATGCCCGTTGTCACAGGGGTTTGGAACAGCCTAGTCAATCAGTCATGACCGCCAAACCCTGGAAGATCTGGACTCCCGCAGCCCCAATGTCCCTTAAAGAATTGAAATCCTGAATACCTAAAGCCGCTCTGGCCGCCCTGAGCCACTCTGCTGTTCTTTGCTCAAGTTAAGGTAGGCTTTAGGGATTGAGGCTTCAGAGTATTGGTCCTTCTTTTCTTCTCGTGTGTTCGGAACTCTGGTTCTTAGTCTGGCAGCCTTCACATAGATAGGCAGGCTCAAAATAAAATTGACTATGGAAATTCGGGTCGAATCCCTGCCACCACAACCGTTAACCCCAAACCCTAAGTCAAGTCCCTAAGCCACCAACCTTAAAGCACAAGCCCTAAATCCTGAAACCTAAACCCTACAACGCTAAAACCCAAGCGCAAGCTGCGTGTTCGGCAGGTGAAAGTGACTACTCGGCGCTCGTTGCAAGCTTCGTGCGCAAGGCATTCCGGGAGTGCGGAGGCTTTGGTCCTTTGGTGGTTAAGGTTGAGGGTTCAGGGCTTACAGCCTAATGATAAGCCGGGCATTCAGGCACAGGCTAGGATTTCCCAAACCATTTTTTTTATGACAAAAAGCGCTAGAAAAGTGGTTCGCAAAATGCGATGAAATTGGAAATTTGCAAACAATGTGAAACAAATGCAAACAAGTATGGCAGGCTTTGATGGTGGCTGCGTCCGGAACACGAAAAAGTAAGACAAAAGTGGAGCCAAAAGAGAACACAGAATGAATACAGACATGGCACTTTTGTTTTGCTGTTTTTGAATTTGCACAATGCTTTATTTGTGTTTTGTTGTTTTTTTTGCATTTGCTTTTCCAGGGCGCATTTTCAAAACGCATTTCTGGCACTTTTGCTTTTGATTCACATTTTAGCTATAATCCTGGGTTTCATACGCTGAGCCTGCTGAAGACCGACATAAGAATGAGATACCCTTTCCCATTGTTTATTGTTGTGCTAGGATTTGGGAGGGTGGCAGATTGGGTAACGAATATTTCTGATTGTCTGCATGGCCCTGCATGGTTGTCTTGAGGATGTTCTTGCGACGTTTCTCGTCGATGTTGCAGCAAGTTTTCTTGAGATTCCTTCACACCCAAACATACTGGGCAAAAATCCACGCACAAATTCGCGTGCACCTCTGGCAATGCATCTGCACGCCAAAACATTGAAAACATCCGTGCAAACCTGCCCAGAGAGACAGACAGTACCATTGACAATGATGATTTGGTGATATTCTGCCCTACTAAAAAAAGCATAGGACTTGAGACCTATCAGCGTCTTCTCCTCACGGGGCGCCTTACGGTCGAAGATCCCGCGAACAAAGACCAGAGGACTTCGTTGTGATCCGGCCTCGTCTGCATGGCAAGGTTAAGGCTACCAGATCGGGTTGCCGAGCTCAACCTTTTTCAGACCTCTGGAGCAAACAAAACCTAAAGCTGACTCATACCAAGAAGCCTTTATGATACCGCGGCGTGCCGCAGAGGTTGCAAGAAAAGCCCTGGGAGGCACCAGCTTTCAATTTGGTCTGTTCTTACCTAAACTGCTTCAACTTCTTCTGCGATGTGGCCTTTTCACAACCCTGACTGGGTTGAACTGACAAGCCCTATCTCCCAAATCAGTAGGTCCCAGAGCCCCGCACCGGTGCAGCTCGCGTCAGTACTTGGCTGCTTTGCAGCTACAGCCGTAAAGCCCGGAGCTCCCAGAGGATTAGCACCGGGCGCTTGTAGATTGTAGCATTTCTGCATCCCAGACCCATGTGTATGCTTCTGTTAGTATTTGCAAATACTGTTTGCTGGAGTTCTTTGCAAAAGGATAAGAAATTTCAATAAGCATCCCCCAAAATCCGAGTTTAATTTCACCGGCTTCTGAACTGTCGCGCTCCCCTCAACCCTAAGCCCCTCAACCCTAAGCCCCTCAACCCTACCCTAAACTCAGGGTTGTGTTGTCAGGTGGAGAAGACCCAAGCGAGTGGAGCAGCGCCGCGCCGCTTCGGAGAGGAACGTGGCGAGCGAGGTGCTCCTGTTCGCTGCATTCTACGGATGGATGGATGGATGGATCCATACATCGATAGATACAAAGACAAGGCAGACAGATGGATAGATAGACAGATAGACGGCTAGACAGATAGACAGATAGATGAAAGATCCACACGTAGACAGATGGACAAAGCAGTGCACGCAGACGGGCAACTAGTTGACCAGATCTGTACTATCAGTGGACACGCCGCTGTTGTGATGGGTCGACATGGACATGATTTGAGCGACCCCCAGAACTTCCGTTTTTGCCTCGGAGAAGCACGGGAAGCTCGGGGTGAAGACGCAGACATGATTGGTCCCGAGCTTTCTTCCTAGAGTTCTATGCTGTTTGGTCTGAGTGGAGAGTATATTTTACATGCGTATAATATATAATAAATATAATCCGATATAGTATAACATAACATAAGACAGTATAATAAAATAAAATATATAGTATTATATTTATATATATATATATATATATATATATACATATGTGTAACAAAAAATATACAACATATAACATTGTATATATACACACATAATAAAATATGACATACATATATATATATATATACACATATTCCAATTCTGTTTCTATGCACTGACACCGTGATGCCAAGTCTTCTGCTGTGCTTCTCCCATCATTTCCCAGCCCCTAAAGAGACTTCATCCTATGCTGTAGTGTGTCGCTACGAAGCACAGTGTAGGATTTAGGGAAGTTTGGGGTTGACCTAGAGTTTCAGATTTAGAGGAGATCTGGGGCTGCTGGCATTCCAGCCAGATGGTGCCATCCACATGGGAGTTTCCGAAAATAGGGGGTACCTTAGGGGTCCTTAGAATAAGGATCCTACTATTTGGGATACTATATTAGGGTCCCCTATTTTCGGAAACCCCCACATACTACATTTCTGGTAGCCGGCCTTTCTGGGAGAATTCCAGAACCTTTCGCCGTAAGCCCCGAAGCAAAGACTTGACAGGTGGCTCTTCATCTTTGGATGACTTCCGTGCACGCGACTTTTCTTGGACCTTCTTTCGGTCTCACCTACATGACTCTCATAGTATGAAAATAGAGAACGTTTTCGGTGTAGCCGAGTGTATGCAGTCATTGCGCTTTGCTCAGCAACTCACGCCCTGGATTCTGTGGGCAGGCGTACCTCCAACGCGGCCGCATCATCTTCTGCCAAAGTGTTCAAAAGCCTGGCTCCCTTCCAAACCCTAAATCCGAAACCCCAAGCCCAAAACCCCAAAGTCTTGATCCCCAAACTCTCAGCCCTGACCTATGCCGTAAACCCCAAGCTCTAAGCCCTGAGCCCTAAACCCCTCAAGCAGCAAAAGAGGCCCTTCAGACAAAGACAAAACTAAGCCCCGAAACCCCTACAAATAAAAACCCATAAAGTAGGCTCTATTAGAAGGATTATAGGGATTCCTTTAAAGGGCTCTATAGGGGTACTATAAGGGTTTAGGGCTTTAGAGTAAACCCCAGAAAGTTGGAAACCGGATTAAGGCCAAATAGTGCTGGGATTCCCTATACATTACTCTTGGGTTTCCAACTTTTGGGCTTCTACTGTAAATCCTACACCCTAAACCCTTAAACCTCCAGCCCAGGATACCCGATGGACGACCGGGCCTTCGGTGTGCTCGAAAGGGCAGTCCCGGCTGTTCAGGTGGCCCCGACTTCGGGCTTTCGGGGGCTGGATTGATACGGGGGCTTTAGTAAGTACCTATACAGTATCAGGTTCCTTTAAAGGGGTCCATAGGGGCCTACTATAAGGGATTAGGTTAGATCTCTTGCGGCTACAGGTATATATTACGTAGGATCATGCTGCAATAGCACAGTTATACAGGTGATTGCATGTTCATGTTTGAGTATACTTATACTGTAGATATGTTATGGCATAATTATGTGATAGTATGGATACATTCTAGTATAACTGTATGATCGTATATTTGTCTTAGTACAAGGGTATGGGGACATGGGGACTATAAGGAAAACCTGCTAACTGGCCGTGGGAGGGAGAGGGTTCAATTGTTTCTGGGGGAGAGGTTGGGTTTCAGGGTGTTTTTTTGGTGGATTTCGTTTTGGCGTTGATTTGTTGTTTGGGTTCAGAGGGTATATGGGGTTTTGTGGATTTGGTTGTTGTTTTGAATTGTTTTTGGGGTTCAGGAATGAGGGATTGCAGCCGATGGCCTTTGTCATTGGCTTCGCGTAAAACCCCAAAAAGCCATAAACCCTCAACACCCTAAACCCTGAACCCTGAACAGTGAGGCGACCATCCTGGCAGACTTCCGGCCGCGCAGAGAGGCTAGAAATTCACAGGGGGCCTTGTTAATCACAGGAGGGTTCCTCTAAAGGGTTCTAGAAGGGGTACTGAAACGGGCTACTATAGGAGCCTTGATAAGCAGCATGCGGGTCAGGGGTATGTCTTTGTATGAAGTACACAGGGACTATGAGGATGCGGAGAAACGCGGTCTTGTCGGCTGCTCTTCCATTTGCATGTTTCAGGGCTTGGCATTTTGAGGGTTCGGGCTTACCATAATTTTACTTATTGCCCGCTTTCTCAGCAAATTAAATGGGCTCTCTTCCGCATGGTTCTGGGCCTGAGTATAGAGAGATACAGCTGCCTTCAGGAATCACTTGTTCAAAGCAGGGTACCTTAAATAGGGGCCTTTATGCGGATCCTGGCTTATACTAGCTTCCCTTGTTTTCTGAGCCTACCTCGCATCACTTGGAGAGCATTCGATTTTATTGGTGATTTGCTTCCTGTCAAATATCATCTGTACATCGATCGAGTCTGGCCTCTTGTCAACGAGGTTTTTGTTTGTCTACTCAAGGCAGAGAAGGGTAGAGAGGCCCGCGTATTGGATCTTAGGGGTACTTAGAAATAGTTTTTAATTGTTGGTTATTATAATCCCTAAGAAACAGCTAAAATTACAATTTTTACTAGGGTTCTAAGTTCAGTATAGGGATGTGAAAGAGCAGAGGTTGCGCATGCGATCAGTGGAACGGCTCATGTGGCTACACAGCCAGTCGAGCTTATGCGGATGTGCGCGCAAGAAAGCGTCACAGTATGACCGGCTACCGTTCTCCCACATTACAGCTACACGAGCCGTAAGGGCACCTGGAACCGACACTGAGTATCTACATACCAGACGATCTGAAACTTTTAACGAGCGGGCCTGAGCTTAGACTCTATAGGCTTAGATCCGGCAGGGCGAAGATGACTATTCCGCTCTCGCCGTGAGCTCAGTGCTGTGGGGGGGGCCGGTGGGGTCAGGACCCATAGAATGCGGGTGAATGAAGGGGTGTGACAAGATCTTCTCGGAGACATCGTGACAGGAGTCACTTTTCTGGCCCTTCGCCCTAGCTGCATTTGTCAGCATCAGGCTTCCTGGGCTCCTTTTTGAGGCGGAGTGGGTGATATTGTTTTTGTTTTTCGAGCAACTTCTGCGGAAGCCTCACTGTTGTTGTCATTACGGGTGTCCATCAGAACCTTAATTAGTTCCAGCACTCTCAGTTTATCATCATAGAACTCTAATTCTCGCAGCCTTGTACCGTATAAATGCTAAACTTGCTAAACCCTATAAACCCTACACCATATATTCCTATAAACCCTATAAACCCATGAACCCTATAACCCTTCAACCCCGAACCCTATAACCCCCCAACCTTGAAGGTCATGGGCTTCCTCAAGTTTTGGGTTTATAGAACTCCAGCTGCGAAGGTCATGGGCTTCCTGCGTTCCATCGAGTCCCGCACGGGCAATGCCCCCCGAGGCGCTCAGAGCGTAATATGAGAGTCTGACATTTTGGGGTCCGTTTTAGGGTTCCTTAAAGGTATCCTGAAAGGGATCTATAAAGGGTTTCTATAAGGGTACTATATGGGTAGTTCTCTCAAGTAGGTTTAGGGTTGTGTGATATGAGAGTCTGGTTTTCTGCTGATATATACTTTATAATACGGCAAGCAACCCTTAAGAAGGGTTAGCCTGAGGGTTCTATACAGGGTCTTACGGCTTCAATGTAATCGAGGGAATAATCAGTAAGCCTGTCCCCTTATCGCCGCTACATATAATTATACTATAATCTAAGGTGCAGGTTGCGGGGATTAGGATAGGACTTCTTGCGCTGTTTAGCTGGTTTCTTGTGAGTTTTTTGGGGAATCATTCTCATTCTTCTGCCCCAAACCCTGAACGCACCCTAAGCCCAAGTCCCTAAGCCTCAAGCCCCCCGAAGACTAAGAGCACTCTTGCTGTGTAGAGCGTCCTCGCGCCCTCGCATTCCACGTGCCGGGTCCGAACCGAAGCACTTTGTTGAGCTTGGGCTGGATTTGGGGGACTTTCAGGGCTTCTTGCAGGTCTAGATGGCTTCGAAGTAGATGTTGAAGCCTCTTTCAAAGAGTTTCCAAGCTACTTCTTGGCTCGCTATGTCTAAACGTCAGCACAGCGAGGATCGCCCTCCACATCATGTCCTCCCCAGGTGGGCGAGGAGGAAACCGAAGAGACCACGACCCCGGGCAAGAATCGAGCGCAGAAGAAAGGTTTCACACGCTTGCAGTCAAGTGGGCGATGCGAGGGGAGGTTGACCAAAGTCTTGCTTCAGAAGCACCAGGGGGATCGTGCGCTCCAGAAGTCAGGCTTCGTGCGAAGGAGTCGCGACATGTTGGACGTAGAACCATGACAACAGCAGCATCGACATTAATAACAGGTAACAGACAGGAGTTGTCCAGAAAGCATGTGTCAATGCCAATGCAGAAATCAGGCGCAACAGCCGATAAGCATCTTTTCTCCATCGTCATAGCACAGCAGGCATCACCATGATGACGATGGTGGTAATGATGAGGGTTATCATTTATCATCAGCATTTGCATATCAATCTTCACTATCGCAGCTATCATGGACAGCAAAATCCTCATGATCACCAACAGCTCCATCATCATCATCATCATCTTCATCACCATCAAACATGTGCATAGTGATCATCGCCACAACAACCTGCGCTGTCATCCTCAGCACTGTCATAATCGAAATCAGCAACGTAGCTTTCATACTCGTCTCCATCTCAGTCGGCTCCCGTCAAACTGGGCACGAAAAAGCGCTGAGGATCGCGACGACTCGCAATCCGCAGACGACTCGCGGTAGGCCGCCACTGGCCACAGAGGGTTCCAGGGCATTGTGTTCGAGGAGACATGTTCAGTCGCCGGTCTGAACTGCTGGGCTTGAAGCGTTTTCAGTGAGGAGTGAGTGCCCAAAGTGTTGCGGCTTAGTGCAACATGCTTTCCACAAATGCCGTCGCCATGACCAGACGCTATATCAAGAGTTTGCATCCATGATTCCTTGCATTGGTACTTCGGGCATCGGGATCGAAGCATGGCTCACTAGAAACTTGCCGTTGGTTAGTAGGGAATGGAAGAATGGTAGTAATAGTAGTTATAATTATACCCCATTCCTCCATTCCCTATTATCCAACGGTAAAGAAATCGGGGGGAGATGGATATCGACGAGCCCGAACAGTTGGCCCTCCAAATGGGGTCCCCAATTCCGGACCTTTTTTTCTCAAGAGTGCTACAAATGTAGCCGTTATAGCCGTGATATTTAAAAAAAAGCCCCCTTGCCATGCCTGTCCCAAGAACTCCCCATAGCCGGCACGGCCATGCGGAGATTTTCCTGAGACCCACAAAGCCACCTATGTAAAGGTATTTACAGGTACGCCTTTGGGGTACTACAGGGTTCTATATCAAGCGTTCTGCAGGGCCCTTGCATTTCTACATGCCTCCATCTCATACGCCAAATGCGCACGGATGGGTCCCGAGACTCAACAAGCTCGACATCTAAGGTCAGCACCTGTTCTTCTCGGCCAGCGTGACAACAAAAGCCCGTCAACTGCACACGGTGAGAAGGGCTTTGCATGGATACCCCTTGACAACCCTTCGCCTTATATGCCTCAAGTCAGAAGCCGTACAGAACACTTATAAAGCCCACCCTGAAAGCCCTGTGAGCCCAGAACCCTCAAGCCCGAAACGCAAGACAGCCACGCCCTGAGCTGGGGAGTCTGCAAGGGGTGCGGCGTTCTCGAGTTGTTGCGAGCCAATCTTCAAAATTTGTATTCAGGGTGAAGGCTTTGCGGTTCAGACTTCAAGCAGACGGTTTCGGCCAGGCCTCAAGATGAAGGAGGGCCTAGAAGGGCCTGGAAGTCGAGGGTGTAAGCCGAAGTCCAAGTCTTACCACCTGACAACCGTTGGCCCGTTGGCTGACAGAAAGTTCTCACTGCTACGATCCGACCTGGTATTGAGCAAGCATGTGTGGGAATGAGGTTGCATGCATGTACGTCTGCATGTAAACGTGCATGCGTGCATGTATGCATGTAGTATGTTCACATGTGTCCGTTCGCTTGCATTCATGTATGTATGGATGTATCTTACGATGCACGCATGCTTGCAAACAGTGCAAGCAACCATAGACGTGCATATATGCCTACATGCATTGAACATATGCAGATATGCATATGTTCATACATACAGACCTACATAGGCACACATACATATGTACGCATAAACAAGCACACTTACATGCATGCATGCATGCATGCATGCATGCGTGCAATCATACATCCGCCCATTCATACAAAATATACACACATACAGACACGCACAGAGGCAGACGTGCATATGTGCACAGGCACGGTCGTATGCATGCACATGTACATTAATGCATGTGCATGTACATATACATAGCGCACGTATACACATGCACTTACATATACATTTGCCAGTGTAGATATATACACACATAAGCATACGTATTACACACATACGTACATACATACATACATACATTCATACATACACACATACATACATACATACATACATACATACATACATACATACATACAATATATGTTTATATTCGGAAAGCTTTAGACTGAGACATTATATATATATACATATATATATATACATATATATATATATATATACATATTTATATTCATATTTATATTTATACTTACATTTATATTTATATGTATATTTTTATAAAATTGTCTTATACCTATGAAGATATATAGGTACACATGCACGCACGTTTCTGCATGCATGTGTAGGCTTCTATCGGAACCGCATGATGTCGACATTCTGTTCTACTTTCTATATGTTTCGAGCCCAAGTATCTCGTCCTGCCTCGTTCTGACAGCTATCAATACCATGACTGTATCCAATCACAGTCTAAAAGATGTTGTCGTCATGGGATGGTTCAACGCACTACTAAGCTATGACAGACGTAGGCACGCACCCTCCAATGTAGTTCATGAGAACGTGGATAAGATCCTAAACAGAAATAAGATGGCCAAACAGAAAACATCGACGGCTTGAGTGAACCCATCCGAAAACTTTCATCGCTAATCCCCCGCACCCCGAAGCTGAACAGCAAAACGTAAAAGCTGCAACCTCCGGATGTCTGGCCGATCGCATGTCAATGTGCGTGAGCCCCTTCTCACGGCGGAGCGGCGACGATGCGGCGGCGCTGTCTGGACGGTTCGCCTGCTGGGACTGGGGGCTTCCAAGTGGTCTTGAGGGGTTGAGATGCTCCTGAGGAGCCTTCATACAGCATAGCATATATAGCATATATATATATATATATATATATATATACATATGGCACTCTACATCGCAAACTGTCTAATCATACATAGATGTCATTTGCTTCGGCACTCGACTCAAGCTGCTCAGTACTGTTCATCGCCACAGGCAGCGGCGGCGATGGCGCTGGGCACCATGGCAGCGTCCCCTGGATCAGCATTGGAACTGGATTCTTGTTACGGGATTTAATTGAAGTTACCGTACTTTAGGGTTCCCTTCAGGGTTCCCTTAGAGTTCAGGGGTTCTATAAGGGCTTAGGGGTTAATGGCTCTATTTTAAGTTACCATAATCAGCAGAAGAAGGACCTCAAGAAGGAGGAAAGGGCAGGCTGCATGGGAGGAACTCCAATCTCTGTTATGGGTAATATACGGGTCTCATTTTGTGGAGGTTCCTCATCATACGTAGAGTATAATGGCCCCAAAACCCCGGCAGATCTGTACAAGGTTTTCTTGGAACAAGGCAACCCAGGTATCGACCTGGCAAGTCTGCCGGTGGCACTTGCGTGCCATCTTACCTAGCGGCGGTTCCAAAATTTCCTCGAAGCCCCGGCTCCGTTTCCTGTAGCACGTCATGACAATCAGGACCGAGATTCCCCTTAGTGGATTCATTTTGGGTAGTAGGTTGCCAAAGAAGGACAGTAGAAAGAGGCACTGTTCGGAACGGCTCCTACAACGCTTTTTCGTCAGCCTCCAGATACAGTGTTCTGTATACATCCTTCATCGCAGCCCTAAACCCTGAACCGTAAAACCATACACCAGCCATACACCGTCATTTTCGAGCTTCCGTCATCTGGTCCAAGGTACGCCTCCTGCGCCTGGCCAGGCCAGCTTGACAGATGTGGGAGTTTCCGAAAATAGGGGGGGCACCTTATTTTGGGGCCCTTATAATAAGAATCCTACTATTTAGGGTACCATATTAGGGTTCCCTATTTTCGGAAACTCCCATTTGAAGATCGGAGTCTCAAGTACTCCTTCCTGCTTTCCTGCTGAAACCAAGCCAAGCCCAGGCTCCAAGCGCTGCATAATGTCTGGAGTGCAGTACACCCTGTGGGTGAGGGCCCCAGACCCCAAACCGTTAACCTGGCCCCAAACCCTAAACCCTCCAAGTGTATGCTCCGAGATTCAAGCATCTCTTCTGCTTTGAGACATGCTCGAGGGGCTGGCGGGAGGGTTGAAAGCACAAGGAGAGGTAGTGCAGAAGCCTGGGTATTTATCAATATGATTCCTTTTGGCTCCTTAAGTTATACTATAATGTGACCCAAAACCCAAGTTTACTGATGTGAAAGGACGCCCGTGTCGAGATACTTAGCCTGCCCCTGCTGGAGCATTGGCAGCATCAATCAATGCCAGAAGTTAGGATCCACAGTGCAAGGTTTAGCATATTTTGTGTTTGAGTTATTTGTGTGTTGGTTTTTTTTTGTGCTTTCATGTCCTGTACCTGCTCGCAGTGTGCTTCTTGTTGTTCTTTCTGGGTTCGTGTGCAGCTTTGTATTTAATGGTTATTCGCGCGTGCCTTCGTTCCTCGGTGTTCGCATCTTCATTTACATTTAAATATGTATGTAATCTCTATGTGTGTGTGTATATATATATTGTGCATATATATATATATATGCATGTATGTATGTATGTATGTATGGAGAGTTTGTCCTGGCTTTTTGTAACGGAATGAACACAGCTGACAACAAATAGTAGTTTGCGTAGATGGTCCTGATACACACAAGAGACTCGAGACGCCAACAGAGTCGCAGTGCTTCACCGCAGACTTAAAAGACTTCACCAATGCTGTAAAAATTGAACACGGCTGCAAGGCGACAACAGGAAATACCAAGGCAAGGGCGACAGGCATTAAGGCATTCCAAGCAGCGGTAGCAAAACAACAGAACAGATCACTAGCAAGGATAGGAATACACCGGCAAAGGCAAGAGCAACCACAACGACACGTGCAAAACATCAATGGCAATAAGACAGACTAAAACGAAGCATGCACGACAGTCCACAAAATCTTGGTCAACCTCTCAAGATCCCAGTACGTCTGACTCCATTGTGGGCTCTTCTCTTGTGTGTTGATTACGTCAGTCCATGCAACAGTGAAGTAGCATGGCATGTAGTCCTTGAACAGTTTCTCATGGGCCCAAAGCAAGCAAGAAGGTGTTGCATCACTCAGATTCATCTCCTATCTAAACCTTCGGAGTCTTTCTTGTGTTCAAGCAGCATGTCGCCAGGTTCCACCACGCCATCACTGATGAATATGTAGAGTGCAGGCACGGAAAGTCTAAGGGAAGAACGAAGTTCCGAGCTCTGGAGCATTCATTGCGAACCCTGAACATCCACATCATAGTCCTCTGCATGTTTTGCAAAGCACATTAGGCCTTGTCAGGCGTTTGCTTCCCACTTTTCTTGGGCATGGCCATCCGGAAACGCGCGGCTCTGCATCCTTGTTCAGCACGGCTGTTTTTGAGCATCGTCGGCATCGCGCTGCTGACCTCCAGCAGTGCGTTCAGCGGCCTTTTCGGTCGCCGTGGAAGCTTCCATGGCTTATTGCGGCGTTCAGGAAGTCGGAGTGGCATGCTGGAACCAATGAATGCTGGTCGAGACGAGGAAGCGATTCGATCAGAGCAAGCGATTCGATCAGAGCGTGATATCGACTGTCCCAAGGCCGTTTCTAGCTTTCAGTTCGATCCTCGCCTGTGCAACTTGCTTCAGAACTGGCGTGATGTGTGGCCAGTGACCGTTACAAAGTTAAAGAAAGGCCTTGGGGGCGCAGAAGTGCGAACAGAGGACGGCCTCATCGGCTTCATCCATTCGAAAGATCTTGGCAGTATTGGCAGCGTCCAGACGGGAAAGAAAAAGAAGAAGCAGAAGAAGAAGAAGAAGAAGAACAAACAGGAGACGCAAGAAGAAGACAAGGCAATCCGGTGTGGAAAAGGGCCCACCAAAGCCGCTGTGATCATCAAGAAGGTCAGGCCACGGTTCTGGCAAGTGGCCGACCCCCAAGAGAGCATCGAGGGAGAAGAACCAATAGTGTTTGAAGTTGTTGATTCTCGGATGGTTTTCAAGCCGGAGCACGATGCAGTCCTGGAGAAGCTCCAGCAAGAGCTTGAGGAGGACGATGCTGGTGGAACACACCAGGTTGAAGTAACGATGGTTCGGGACGAAATCGTTTATGTGCTGACCAAGGATGGTCTCTTGGGTTGGGTTCCTTTGAGCTCTCTGGGCCTGCGGAGTGATGTGCCCAGCGTAGGAGATGAGTTGAATGTTACTGTCGTGGGCATCAGGAGTTCGAAGGATGCTGAATGGACCTTTTTTCCACCACGCGCGCAAAGTTTGATCTCTTCCTTTACTGGGGAGGACCCGAAGTTGTTTGGAAGACCCTCTCTCTGCTGTGCCGGGCCGCAGATGCAAGAATTGTTGACGCAGCTTCGAGACTGGAATGTGGTACTTGCAGAGATCGTGGGGATTAAGAATAAAGGAGTCTCGGTTGAGATAGCAGGTGCTGAGTTCTTCCTTGGAGATACCCAGCTCACGGGCAACAGAAGCATGCTTAAGGCCTCGGGGGGGCCGAAGGCTGTGTTTTCGGTGGGCGAGCAGGTGAAGATGCTCTGCGAGTGGGATGATCAAAGCGAACTACGGCTGTCTATCCGAAGGCTAGAGCGGCGTGCAGGCGCTGTTCTGATAAGCAAGCAGCGGGTTTTCGAAGAGGCAGAAGAGACTGCCGAAATGCTCCGCATGAAGATGTGGGGTGACTCTGAACCGCGGATTCCAAACACGACACAGGTTTCTGGAAACACAGAGGATCTTCACAAGCAGTATTCACAGCTGATACAGGAGTACATGACCACGTCTGAGATCGCGGGACTATAGGACACGATACTGGGCGACGACGATGACGAAAATTGTTCGGATATTATAGCAGGCTGCATCAACATTACATTGAGGATTGGACCCCAGGTGCCTAAGTAGTAGAAAAAGTAGCCTAGACAAGCACCACTTGGCACGCGATCCAGTACCCGCCCAATAGCCGCCACTTGGGAAACTTGAGCAGGAGCTAGCAAAGTGCATTTCCCAATCCGCACCGAGCTTAACCCATGACAGCTCCCATGCTTTTAGCCCTCTTCTAAAAAAACCGGCTCGCGAAAGCCCATCGTAGATAGACCTGTGATTACAGCCAGCCTATCACGAAGAATCAGGTTGTTAAGGGCTTGCTCCTTGTATGCACATTGAAAGCTTAAGATTTCAGAGCCACATTCCCTGAAAGTCTAACCTTCAGTCCCGAAGCCTGCCTAAACCGCAAGCCTTCAAGCATAAGTCCTTAACCCTGGACCTGGCTTGCCGTTTACCTGAACCGGACCAGGCAGACGGAAAAAGGTGCTGAAAAAGGGACCCCAGTTTATACAGACCCTCAGTAGAGTCAGATACGCCTGGTGCAGATCCGAAATAATTTGCTACGACCCTTAAGTTATCCGCATCCAGTACCCATTCTTGGAACAAGAGCCCTGAAATCTTGAACCCGGAACGTCGTGACTTCTTGCAGGGCCGAAGAGGACTGTGCGGCTGCGCCTTTTTTGGATCCGACATGGCCTGTCTTGCGCCAATGTGCTGCCCCTTGGCAACTATAGGGGTTTAGGGTGTAGGGTTTAGCGGTTTAGGGTTCGGCTTGAGGGTTTGGGCCTTGTAACAAGCAAGAAGGTACTTTGTCTGTCGGGGGACGAGTCCGTGCAATTGAGTAGGGTCCTGCCATGCAGAGCCTATATTTGGGGCCCCATAATTATATGCATATACACATATGATCATACACACATATACATACATATATGTATATATATATATATACAAACACATACTTACATGTGTTTTATATACATACGGGCATACGTTCATCTGTATTCTCCCCGATGTGCTTCTTCATGTTAGCTGCGAACATCTTCTGAAACAACCTGTATATATCTGTGTAGAATTCTAAACATGCATACAGGCCATTAGGGGCGCATAGCGTTCTTCACTAATGGGCATGCATGCCTACTATACAGACGAATGGATATAGTATGCCCTAAACCCTAAACCGAGTAGTACCGAAATTTAAGCCAGCTTCCACAGGGTTGCTGTACAGCACATTAGGGCCGACCGAAGTGCATTGCAGCTTCCTAAGCAGATCGAACGAAAGTTGCTTCGCCCATTGGGCGCGGTGGTTGCAGGATTGAGGCTCTGAGCCATCCTGGTGGCACTGGGGTAGTACGGCTGCAATCGGATCCCTGGCATTCCGAAACACTGAGCCCTAGAATCCTAAAGCCCCAAACAACACTCGAGGAACGCCTGCACAGCTGGGAGGGATGGCATGGAGGATGCCTGTCGGATGCAAGCAGAAACCCTGTTGCCCGTGACCCTACGAGGCCCTTTTGGTGTGTATTTATGTCTGTGTATATGTACACACATACTTCTTCAAGGTCCAAGCACACGCACATAACATGTATACACATAATGCATATGCATATACATATATATATATATATATATGTATATGTATGTACACAGAGAGAGAGATCTAGAAAATACACCCACGTGCACATATACCTATATGTGTATGCACACATGTTTGTATGTATATACATGTATGTGCATATATATATATATATATATATATATATGTGTGTGTATATATGTATGTATATATCTAAATATATATATATATATATATATATATATATATACACATGCATGTATACACTTATTAGTTTATACCACTTTTTTGTGGTCTAATATAGGTAGATGTTCATATATATATATATATATACACACACACACCTACATACACGGCTACATTTGGTTGCTTTTTGTTGAAGAATGTGTACACCTTTGCCAACGCACAACATAGATTTGCCCCGAATGTGGTTTACCTTGAACAGGTTCCCTGCACAGCGTCCATTGGGACGAGTTCTAGTTTGCTCGCACGACAAGTCTTAAGCACCATGGGGCGTTGGGGGGGGGGGTGCGAGCTTGGGGTTCACGTTGGAAGGTTTGTCTCGCTGCAGCAAGATTCTGCTTCCTACACAGGCCAAATGCCAAAAACCCTCGAGTTCTTCAGACCTCAATATCGCTGAGACCAATCAGGCAGACTAGTTGGCAGAGTCTGGCGCAGAAACACCAAACCCAGTTCTCATGGTTACTACTATACGGGCCTTGATAATTACCTACTCTGTTTCGGGGGTTCCTTATCATACTTCTATCGTATAATATACCTCAAAACCAAAGCTTAGTTGGGAGGCCTAGCTCAAAGCGAAGCTAGATGATTGCAAGATGCACAAGACATCCTCAGCTGCACTCACCTCAGACTTCTGTCCGCATGAACCTCGAAACCCTATTCTAACTCATGAGGCCCTATATTACTATTTACCTACACTGCTTGGGGGCTCCTTACTATGATGCCTATATTTATAGTATATAGTATATTATACCTCAAAACCCTTTTTCTAATTGGAAATGTGGCCCCTAGATTTGGTGGGTGAACTCCCAGGCTGAACTGATGCGAGAACTCGAGGCAGCACTGTTGCTTGGCCTGGAAGTCCGAAACACAGGGGGGTTCGGTGGTTTCTTAAGAAGAACTCTTGACTAGTCCTTCGGAAGGTGGCATAAAGTTCTACAGGGTGCGGGTGGTTTCTGAAGAAGGGTCTTGACTAGTCTTTCGGAAGGTGACAGACAGTTCTGCCGCGTGGCGGGATCGATTTTACATTGCAGTAAATTGTTCTGGGCTTTGTAGATCCCACGGGATTTAACGGTGCAAGCTTGTCCAGGTTTTTGCATGTGTGCAAAGAACCCGAACCCTAGCGACAACCTTCCGGTTTGCATGCTGAGGCAAGCCCTGTGACTGAGTCGCACTTAGCTTGAGTCGCGAAGGGTCCCTTTTTGCGAGCGAGGGCTTGGGATCGAGTAGGGCTTACCGCTTAGGGAGTTTAGGGTTGGGGGTTTAACACAGGGGGCCTTAATAATTCGAATAGGGTTTTGGGGCCCTAATGCTGTAGTTATATCAAGGAACCACCAAACTACTATCTAGAAATTATTGAGGCCCCTACATTGGGGCTTTTGGGTTCATGTTTGAGTTGGAGGGTTTCAGGAGGATGCAGGTCGTCAGCCCTCCAGAATTCAGGCCTTCTGCTTCTTTTATCGCTGCCTCTTCAATGAGAGCTCCCCCCCACAACCCTGAACCCCACACCTTAAAACCCTAAACCCCATAACCCTGAACCCAGAAACCCCGTAACCCTAAGCCCCTCTAAATCCCCAAAACCCTAAACTCCCTTAAACCCCTAAAGACCTAAAAGCCTAAACTCCCTTCGCAAATCTGCTTGAGCATCTGAGAGTCAGCGGAAATGTTCCCATCTTCTCGGCCTTGGCTTGGCTGATAAGCCTCGGTCCGCCCCCAAAGAGGTATACTTAGAATAGGGTTCCTTGCAAGGGGTCTATACAAGGATTACTATAAGGAGCATTATGGGGTCTTAGTGTTAGGGGCTTCAATAGTCACATAGAAGACGGGGTGGAATTTTGCAACGATAAGGAGCCCCCTAACGGGCATCGGTAAGTAGTAAATGCGCCTCCCCCTGTACAAACCCTTGACAGAACCCTTATCAAGGGTGTCCGAATCTGATTATGAAGGCTCCTTTGTTCCGAATCTTACCTGCGAGCGCTCAGGCCAAAGTACGTGCTGCCCGATGCGTCCGATGCGACTTTGGACACCAGCTTCGGCATCCGTTCCCGCCGCTGGACTGCAGCTTCCTCGAGCCAGTGGTTCGGCATATCTGTTATTTATCTATCCAGCTGTCCTTCTAGCCACCTATCTATCTGGCCATCTTTCTATCTATCTATCTCTCTCCCTAGCTCACTATTTCTTGTTGGTATGTGTCTCTCACGCTCGCTCTCGCTCTCGTTCGTGCTCTCTCTCTCTCTCTCCCTGTGTGCGTCTTGTGTCTTCGTCTATGTATGTGCAGATGTGTGTATATATATAGGTATATTTACTTATGTTTTGAGTTATTTATGTATTGATGAAGGTAAGCGCTGTCTCCCGAGGACCTCCAGACGGCAAGGACTGCAAGGTGAAGGCCTGGAATGTTTTTTTTTTTTTTTCATGGCTTTTAGGGTTTAGAATGCCGCAATCGACACCCAGCCCCGTCCTCCCCAGTCGTTGCATCGAAGAAGAGACCATCAAGCACTTTCATGTCGACAGGCTCGACCTGGTAGTCTCGGAATCAAAGGCAAGAACACCCAAGATTGTGAACTGGGTAATATGGAGGCCTTAGTATTTTGGGGTTCCTTAATTTAGAAATTATAGTATAAAATACTCCGCAAACCCTACTTTGATCATTAAGGCCCCTATATTGCACATCCCGTGCACAGCATTTCGGAAACCTATCCTTCAACATGTCCAAGCTTGAGCACTTCTCACGTGCTGCAAGCAGCGAACTGGTTGACGATGGCAGTAGCATCTCCATGTTTTGTGGAACACGTAAGATGCCCAAGCATAGGAATATTTGTACTAATCATGGCAATTTGGCTAGTAAACACAATAAGACTAATATTTGTACTCGTAACAACCGAACCACCGAAAATCCGACGCGGCCTGCAGGTGCGCCTTTCAAACGGCAGCTCTTTCGAGCCTTGGCCAAGGGTGGCAGTTGATGAGTTTGCAGCCTTGCGAAGTTCTGAAGACGACCCCAGAGGCTAGAACCCCCAACTACCCTCTATTAGTCTATTTTACCCCAAATAAATACCACCCTCAAGGATCATATAAGGGCTCTATTAAAGGGATGTTTGGGGGTCCTGGACGCCTGGAGAACCCAAAGACTTAAGTTGGGGTTGTGACGCAAAACCTTTATATCGTCCCAACACAGTGTCTTGAGCCTAAAGGGTTTTGGGGCTGCCCTGGGTAAGCCTCATGGTAGAAGTGTTTCAAAGGGTCTCAAATACCTATGTAGTAGCCCGCCTAATCACCCTTGTAGTAACTATTTTAGTATTAACCATAAACCCTAAATCCCAACTCTCTCTTTCTTATATCACCCAGGAAGTTGGAACATCCTTATTCTCATGCCCCGAAGGTACAGTGGAGGGAGTCCCAGCAAGAATCATCTTGCATCCCTGTTCCGACTGTCTGGAGTTCAACAAGCTGTTGATGATATAAATCCTGCATTACCCAGAATAAGGAATATGCCATAATTCCCATTTTTTAGGGTCCTCAAGGTAATGCAGGATTTATATCATCAACCGTGTGACTCCAGGCAACTTTGCTGCTAGTGTTGATTCGCCCTACAATCCTAAGGGCCCAAAACCCCAACGCACCAAACCCCAACCTTTTTCAATTCGAATAGGGTCTGGGGGGTATATTGCACTATTCATATCTTAAACCACAACCTTATTATTCTAATTACTAAGGCTCCTACAGTGAATGCCCTGAAATGTGGAAACCCCAGAACCTTGGCAGGCTAACGATTCGCAGTTACCTGAAGGAGTCCAATAACCCAGAATGCTACCCGGGGATCCAATACTTTCTTGTTTGAGGGCTGCACCCTAGAAGTACAGTCAGGTTTCATGGTCCTAGGAGGGTTTGGGGCTACTTACAGGTATATTTCAAGCCCTGCGAACCCCTGAAGCCCACCACGGCAATCTGAGGAGACCAAACTGCATCATCTGCTTCTCGACCCGCTCATCACGGACTGCTCCATGAAGCAGTCAGGGAATGCGGCTGGTTTGAAGTCCTTCTCGGCTACTTCAAGTCGCAACCTCTCGACTTCTTGCGGGTCTTACCACATTTTGGCTGTAGTCCGCAAGTGTCATCGGTTTTGTTCGAGGCATGTAGGGCAATGTAGAGGAACGGGTTCAGGCATCCTGCCTCGCCGAAGCTTGCCACAGTGATCGAAGAAGTTGGAATGTCAGATGCTTCTGGTGATCGAGGCTTGCATGATATAAAAGCTCACTGTCAACGCTCATCTACGCACAGTCTGAGCTATTACTAGATCAAGAAGCAGGAGACTCATGTACTTGTCGCGGTCGAGCTCCATTTCAAGTCGCAAAGACCGGTTGAAAAAGAAAGAACTCCTAGAGAAGCCGGAGCCATCCAGGCAGGGCGTGCCTTTCTCAGATGGCTGGCGGAGCGGAACATCCGCTGCTCGTGCAGAGATCTAGGGAATCAAGGGTTGTGATGACTTGCAAGATCGTCGGTAGGTTCATGTGGATTTAGGAATCCGAGCTGGTCCTGTTATGCCATGATGTGACTTTTCACAAGTGCTGTCGACCACAGATGGTAGGCTCTAACAGGGAATCCCTGACTTCGAGGAGTCCTCGGCCCCATCTGCTTTTGGGGCTTATAGGCAACTTGAGCAGCAGGGATCAGGGTTGTGGGATGTGTGGGGTAACGCTCGAGCTCCCGTTTTCGAGGTCTCCATTTCATCGCATCCAGCACACTGCTGAGGGCCATCCAGACGCCTGCCATCTTGAACGTTCTTCTGGAGTTGTCAGCCGTGCCGCATGCTAGTGAATAGTTTTCGTCGCACTGTAGTCACCGCATTTTACAATGATGGGATTTTTTGCGTTGTAGTGCACGTATACGACATGAAGGCATGTCCCACATATATAGTCAGCTCAACGAATTCGAAAATGAGTGGTGTGGGGCCGCAAGTGTGATGGTGTAGCCTTTTCTGTTCTTTCTTATAGCTACACCCCGCAGAAGCTGGTTCGAAGTCAGTGAACTATCGTTTCGGTGTGGCCAGCAGTTCACAACTCGCCGGAACAATGTTGTCGTGACCGAGGACCTCATGTCCTCAGACGTCAGGTGTCACTCTGTGTGATAAGTTCCTAAAGCTCCTCAAGACTCGCAAAGTCCACAAGGACTGCACACCACATGTTCGTGGAGCCGTGCCAAAATGGCGGCGAAACCTGCGATGTGCTGGTGGGGAATCTGTCGCCAGGCAGAAGGATCTTATGGTAGGTTCAGGGGCCAGGGCTTGGGACTTGCGGCTTTCGAGTAGAGGGTTTAGATGTGGGTGGTTGTCAAAATTATGGTCCCTTTTTGGGTCCTTAATATAATGCGGCACCTAATATTTAGGGTACCCAAAAAGGGGCCCTAATTTTGACAACTACCCATGTGAAAGTTCGATGCCTCGGGGTCTTCGGAGTCGGAGGGTTCGACAGGACAAGTTGGTGTTGCGGGTTTCCGGGTGTGTGCTTTTGGATCTTCGATGACGGCTTTGTTTCGGTTTCTTAAAGCCTAGGTTCGGGACTTTCGGACAACGACCCGGCAGGCATCAGAATGCAATAGGAGCAAGTCAAGACCATAGCTGCACCATAGTTCGCTGCTACCTGAATTAATTTCAAACTAGTGCAATAGGTTGAGAAGCCGGTATATGGTAGAAGATCAACACAGTTCTCTAATTGTCCATTGTTGCAAGGCTGTGACACATGTCAGATCTAGTTAGACGCCACCGCAACGTACTCCACCGGAACATGCGGCAACCATGCAGCATTTCGATATACCACGCCCGTCTGATCTGCGAAATATAGCCTTAGCTTTAGGGTAGGTGTCCGAATAATCAGGGCCGAAATTATAACTAATACTATTGTGGGGATTCCTTATTATCATCATAGAATATTGGGCCCTCAAACCTATTCTGCTTCTAAAGGCCCCTACAGTATTTAAAAGCAGCCCAAGCCTGGCTCCAACCTTGACAGCCTCAGCTTGAGGAGCCCCCACGATCCGCGCCCATAAAGCCTCACCCCGAAACCGCTTCACGCCCAGAGACTTAAACCCCAAGATGTCTCAAGCTTCATCATTATTGCTTTGGTTCGTACTGATGATTGTTACTACTGTTCTCTTCTCACTCTTTGCCTTTGTTGCGTTACTGTTCGAGTTACTACTTGTTAGTTATTATTGTTATTACCTAGGACGGTCTCACCCTTGCCCTACGTGGCGGAGCGCTCCGCCTCCAGACAGCCGCTCCAGGCCCCTGAGAGCTACTGACGGTCAGAGCTAAGTTTAAGCTTTTAGGGTTTTATTGTTCCAGGTTTTAGGGTTTTAGAGTTTTAGGGTTCCAGGGTTTTAGAGTCTTAGAGTTTCAGTATGGTACGCCCTGGCGGCGTGTATTTTCGAGGAAGCAGTTTCTTGGTATAAGCAGTTTAAGATGCTTTTAGCTAATTCTTTCTTCTAACCTGGATGGGTTTGCTATGGATAGTGCTCCAGTATGTGTATTAGATCCAGAAATACTCTGTAGCTCCAGAGGTAAAGGGACTGAGAGGTCGGGAATAAAGGACAGGGGCCGAAGATAGCCTAAACCAAAGGGCCAAAAGGCCTGGAGTCCGTGGCCCTGGCCCTGGGGGAGGGGGAGGGGGGAGGGGGGGGGGGCAAAAAAAAAAAAAAAAATTACATATACATGTATGAGAATTTTTTTTTTTTTTTTTTGCGCCCCCCCCCCCGGCCCCGCAGTCCAGGGACCTCAAAGTGCAATCCGTCTGAGCCTATAGCCAGGCCTACAGACCAAACCAGCAAGTTTCAGTATTTAGACACATCTGTAAAGCCTTCAGGCCTCAGGCCAAGGAACAAGAACATAAATACACCTAAAACTCAGGACCGAGGAGAAACCTCATAAAGATCTTCATCTCTATCATCCACCCCTATGAGCTTGTAATGTAGGGTTATAGACTTTATAATAAGGTATCACCTCTTGTATGAGCCATATGTAGACCTTGTCCATGCCTTCCTGGGTATGTTTGTAGATACGGGTGTCCGGGTCTCTATGTAATCATACAACTTCACAAATCGCATGACATCGCATATGTGTTTGTGTCTACATGTATACACATATAAAGAGAGGAAGCATGCATATGTTTTTCGTGAATCTGTGCGAATATGTGTTTATATATATGAATATATATGTAACAGGACATGTATGTCTAAGTATGTTTTACCTATGAGTATCACACAAAAATGATTGAAACCAGATCGTTGAAAGCTCCATTCTTAATGGCATTCTTGGTTCATGTCTAACTGCGTATGTGTTATCATGTTAGGTCTACAACGTTTTTAAAAAACTTGTATGATAGTGACAAATACGCAAGTTGATAGGGATAGTTCAACAATCGATTTGGCATGTGTATATATATGTATACACACACGCGAATTCATTGCGGCCTTGAGGTTTAGAAAATTGAAGGCTCTTCTGCAACATTTTCACAATGTTGTGTTTTTTGTGTGAAACACTCGTATTTCTCGTGTTTGTTACTGCTTTTTACTGGGTGATGGAAAATTACATGACCAGAAATGATGCATGCATTCCCCAACAGATGCGTAGGCCTTGATACGAGATGATAGATGACAAACCCAATCGCTCGTTCACATAACCACGGTTCAACCTGCGGAGCGGATAGGCGGGACCCCCCCCGTGCTCCTATAAGGGATTGCCTTATGCATTCGAAACCACAGCCTCAGCAAGATATGAATAAGAGCAATGGGCGGGTGGCCAAATCTTCATCCTTAGGAATGAAGCTAATGGATCCACATTGCGCAGACATAGACAAGATCACAATCTGGAAGACTGGTGCGAATTCCAAGGGCTAGAATGGAAGAGTGGTTCGAGAAACGAAACTTTCCAAATACATGTGGACATGCTGGAAGGTTGTCCAATAGATATGATGCATTATAAATGTGAGCATATTTAACAGATATATATGCCTACTCTTGAACTATGATATATGAAAGAGATGATGCATCTCAAACACTAACATCACGATTGGATTCCAACAATCCATCATATTGGACAAGTTGGGTGGCAAGCCCAAAAAAACTCAAAGGAGATGATGGGATTCAATTCGTCCTCCCGAAGAATGGTAGCAGATTACAAAGCATGTTAAATTCCGATCAGGATACATGGGTGGCGTGTCCAATATGCTCATCCTTAGGGGCAGATTGCGGATAAAACATCCAACAAACCCCACTAGCTCAGAAACGTTTCAAGCTCCAACAGACCTAAACCCGAAAGGATATCAATGTGGTACCATCAAACAGGATATGGCGTCAACAGAAAGCTATAATCGGAAAAAGAGCTCCAAACCCACAGCCTCGATAGGAGGTGATTGGACACCCTGATACATCCAAAGCCTGACATGGATATGTCGCTTTAACAGCATTTGCACGGTAGTAGAATGGCAAATACCCGTTTCATCACTGCGATCGTAGCCATATCAGAGCCGTCGTACACTATGACAAGTACCATAAGTGATTAGTCTCCGATTGCATGTACACCACATGTCGTATCGACACGAGAAACACATCCGAGCAGGAAACAGCACCAACAATGGCAAAGGTATAAAATTTTGCAAAGGTAACACATGTGTGTAACATTAGATAGCCTGAACCAAAGACCAAAAGGTCTGGTTTACCAGTAACCCTCCGTAGCTATAAATCCATATACCAAAACTCGAGAAAAAACACAGGATTCCTCGAAAATACACGCCGCCACGGCGTACCAGTCTCTAGAGTTTTAGGGTTTTACGGTTTAGGGTGTCCTTGTAGGCTTTCACGGTTGAGGCTAGGGCTAGGGGTGATAGGGTTAAGGTTTAGGGTTTCCTTATAGTCGCCAATTCATGTCCCCAAGTAGTGATGCGATAGTATGCCCCAAAGTCGTGCTCGAATTCTTAAGGCTCCTATATTCGTCACTGAGGAATGGAGTCAAGGCTGCGGGTGCGCGGGCTTGGGGTCTTAGGGACTACTGGATCAGGAATTTGGTGCAGCTGCCTGCAAGAGCTTCTCAAGCTTGAAAGAACCAACGTAAAGCTGCAAACTCACTGAACCATAAGCCCTTAAACCCTAAACCCGAAAAGCCTCACAAGAGGTAGGGCCAAGCTTTCTTTGGAGTATGCCGGCAGTTCCTCATGTAGTCTGACGCAAGTTGTCTCGTATACGAGAATACGATATCAGTTTTTGTTCCCGGTGTCCCAGGCGGAAGAAGGGGCCCTAGGCTGAACTCGCAAAATAGCCACTTTAGCATCCTTTAGTTAAAGTAGCTTAGTAACCCTTGCGGAACCATAAGGGATCAGCTTTGCACCCGCTGGCAGGCAGACAACCTCCCAGCACCCTTGTCGATGCAGAAGGCTGGCTACAAGACTTTGCATTGGAAACTAGGTCTGCGTTGCTCTTGCTTGTCAAGGTTTTCGAGTTGTTGGGTTTAGCATGTGTTTTTTGGTTTCGGCTCGTGGGGTTGTATGGATGTATGTATGTATATATATATATATATATATATATATATATATAGGGTTTTGGGGCGGGTGTTCACAGGTTTGGGTTTGTCGAGCTTGGGGTTATAGGGTCCAGGGTCTTTCACTCCCCTCAACGATGTGCATCTTTTTGGCGGCCTTTCGGAAGGAAGTTTTGCAGCAAGAAAGCTTCAATGCATATTTTCAGTATATTCTGGAAGCCTAAATCATGTTATTTCCAGGGTTCCTCGCAGTATCTGTAGTATAATATCCCCCCGTCAAAGCAAAATCGTTCAATCATCAAGGCCCAAACATTAGTTGCAACATCCCGGTGACGAAGCATGGCCCAATCTCCGAAGGTCCGGGTGACACGCTTAGCATGGGGGTCTGGGGTGTAGGATTTTGGGTCTTTGCGGGTTAGGGCTCGGGGTTTGGAGTTCTGTTCAGGGCTTTTGGGGTATATGGGGACATCTTCTTGTAGAACGCTTGTAAGGGACGATGAACCTGACACAATCAAAGAGTTATTTATTGGGTGATGATTATTGGATCGAAGAACGTTGCGCCATATTCCTCAAAAAGCAAGCACATGGACCTTAACATAGATGAGAAGTACTGTTGCTCAAAATCTGGGATTCCCCTACAATACACTACTTTGGTCCTCTCTCGCAGAATTTGCCAGGACGTACTTCGCAGCCTGTACTCCCACGACATCATGGACGATCGCTTCGCACCAGAGCTCGAAGTCATCTTTGGGATTCAGGATTCCGGGGTGCCCTTATTCACGTGGGTGGTTGTCAAAATTATGGTCCCTTTTTGGGTACCCTAAATACTAGGTGCCGTATTACAATAGGGACCCAAGAAGGGACCATCATTTTGACAATCACCCATGTGGGAGTTTCCGAAAACAGGGGACCCTGATAAAGTACCCTAAATCGTGACCCTCAAATAAGGTACCCTAATTTTCGGAAACTCCCATGTATAGTACAAAAACCCAACAGCCCCCCAGCGTGCTGAGAGCTTCGGGGATCGGATTCAGCTCATGTAGCCTCGTTGTATTGTATTGACCGGCACTGGACAAAGGCGGTGGTCTAGGTCCGGCAGACGCGGCATTTTCTAGTGCAGACTCTTCGAATCAAGAGTCTAGATTGATAGCAGCATGTAGCGTGGACTGACGGACCCCAGCTTAAAGCAAGCTGTCTGCAAAATTACTTGTTCGAGGAAATGTCATCAGTTACAGCACAACCGGTACGGATCAGACTGAGCGTGAAGGAAGATTAACTGCAAGCAGTTGAAGAGTTCATGGCATAATGTAGGGGCCTTAATGATTAGAGGTGGGTTTGGGGGGCTCCACATTGTGGTTATAGTATAAGATAGTCCAAACTGCGCGACCGCTGATCTGGGCATGGGCCTAGGGAGCTCCGGGATCTCAAACCCTTGAATCCCGCACTCTAAGTTTTTCTTAGGGTGTTTAGAAATATTCTTTAATTTTTGGTCATTACAATCCCTAAACAGCTAAAATCATAATTTTTGTTAGGGTTCTAGGTTCAGTAAACTTTTGAGCGAGGTGGAAGAACTCACGTCTGCTTGGGTTCTTTCCGTGTACATATGGGCGGTTGTCAAAATTAGGGTCCCTTTTTGGGAACCCTAAATATTAGGTGCCGTACTATAATAAGGACAAAAAGGGACCCTAATTTCGACAACCACTCATATATGCCCTGGCTGTCTGCCTCCCTGCCAACCTGCCCACCTCACCACTCGACATTACCCCCGAGGGTCCATGTACCTAAATAGTATATACATTGGCCTTGAAGTAGTCTCTATATAGGTACATTGGGGCCAAAGTATATACTATTTGGGTACATGGACCCTTAAAGGGTTACTGGCAATCTAGCGAGCTACGAGTAGATGGTCAACTCAGCACTGGACATCTACAATCCCATAGGCTCTGAATGCTCAGTCAAACCAAGCTCGTCACTTGGCTTAAATTCCACATGAACCTTGTTTCAACCATTTTTGAAACCCTAAACCCCAAACCCTACACCCTACAAGCCCTACACCTTCTCTTATGAACCCTACACCGTGAGCCCTAAACGGCCCAAAACCAAAAATCAAACCCTATAAATCCCAAATCCCGAAACCCTGGACCCAAGCCCTAAACCCTGTAAACTTCGTTCGCGCAGCACAGAAAGAAGCCATTGCACTTAAACAAAAACCTATAAACACTAAGCCCCAACCCTCAGGTACGGCGCTGGCCCAGATTGGCGCAACAGCAACCTGGAGCAGATGGGAGCTCTCGGGAAAGTGCATTCGATACCCTAAGCCCCGCTCACGCTTTTCTCCACGTCACGCCACCCATAGTTTATCCTTGCACACCCCGTCGCGAATCCATTGGGCCCTCTACTAGCCGTCTACACTCGCCATGACTCCCTGGTGCTTAGTTAGATCCTCATAGTAGTCCCTATATATTCCCCAATAGTAGTCCCCATACCACACCATTCCTGCTAGCCGCCAGGGAGATGAAACATGATGCAAATGGGGGACTCGAATGTAGCACCCTAAACAGTCGGATCCTGATTATAAGGACCCTACAATAAGGTACCCCTAAGTGGATCACATGCCTTCCGAAGTTTCGCCCGAAGCTCTAAGCCATCCCAAGCCATAAACTGCGGCAAAATCCTGAAACCTAACCCTTCGGTCAACCTTTACGGTATGCATAAATCTAAGCGACTAGCCTGAAAATCCTCAAGCCAGGTATCAGGAGTTCAAGGCCTTCCTAGCGTGGCTCGGCAGGAAGGGGCGAGATCAGAGAGGTTTTGTGGGTTTAGGGTTCAAGGTCGTGAGGGGTTTAGGATGTCTTACGCCTTATAGCGTAGTAGGTTGCAATGTTTATCGGGCATACGGCTTAAGGAGTAGAGTTGGTTCGGGCTTTTGAGCCTCACAATCGAAACCCAAATTGCTTATGCTAGCGATGTAGCCCAGGTATAATCTAGTTCCTGAGCTTGCCCCAAATCTCCCCGAGATGAGGCGATCGAGGTATGGACCCCACCTCAGGGTTCCTTGTAACAACAGTACACTATGAGAAAGTATTTACGTTCCCTTACACAAACCCTAACCCTAAACCCCTAAACTACTCCTAAACCCTCAAAAGCCCCTAAACTACCCTAAACCCTCAACACCACTAAACTACCCGAAACCTTCAAAAGCCCTTAAACTACCCTAAACCCTCGAAAGCCCCTAAACTACCCCTAAACCCTCAAAAGCCGCTAAACTACCCCTAAACCCTCAAAACTCCAAAACCCCTAAACCCTCGAAAGCCCCTAAACTACCCCTAAACCCTCAAAAGCCCCTAAACTACCCCTAAACCCTCAAAAGCCCCTAAACCCTCGAAAGCCCCTAAACTACCCCTAAACCCTCAAAAGCCCCTAAACTACCCCTAAACCCTCAAAAGCCCCTAAACCCTCGAAAGCCCCTAAACTACCCCTAAACCCTCAAAAGCCCCTAAACTACCCCTAAACCCTCAAAAGCCCCTAAACCCTCAAAAGCCCCTAAACTACCCCTAAACCCTCAAAAGCCCCTAAACTACCCCTAAACCCTCAAAAGCCCCTAAACCCTCAAAAGCCCCTAAACCCCTAAACCCTACATTAGGCCCCTAGGCAACCCGGTGCTTCGAGAGGTTGGTCCTCGTCCCCGCGCTGCTCTCGCCGCGACGGTCGACGCCCGGTGCGCGCGAGGCCTTAGAGGCACCCGAGCTCGGTGTTTAGGGTTTGGAATTTAGGGGTTAAGACGGTTAAGAGTTGGTATGTTGTAGGGTTTAGGATAGGGTTTAGAGTTTAGGGGTTAAGAGTTGTTATGCTGTAGGGTTTAGGATTCAGAGATGTTGCCTTAGGGTTTAGGTTTAGGGATTCACCAGAAGCGATTGCTAGTGTGGGATGTTGAGTCGTGGTATAAGGTAATGGGCGTATAAGGTAAGGGGCTAAGATTCAATTTTGGGCTTCTAGAGTTTCAAGTCTCACGATTGGGTTTAGGGCCTGCATTATACTGTACTCTTCTTTACCAGTCTATACTGCTCCATACTTCTATACTTTTCTATACTATCACAAAATTCCTGTACTATGTACATAATACTAGATCGTACTAGCGGACTGTTCTATACTCCTCTCCTATACTTTACGACATTATGCTATACTGTATGCTGTATGTTCTCCTGCTAAGAAAAGCTGACCGAGCCCTGTGCAGGGTGCAGAGCCCGGCCTCTTCGCTGCAGGTGCGACAGTCTTTGGGTCGTCGCTTTTTTCGTGCATTGCGGGAGAGCAACCCTTGGGTTTAGGGTGTATGATATAGAAGCCTGACTGAACAGTTACTAGATTTCACTCCTTGGGGTTCTAATCGTGTTAATTTGAACTAGACTGTATCTTACAAGCACTTGCGGCAGCTGCACTTAGACTTGGCTGCATTGGCGAAGAAATGTAGGTGTCCCGACCACGGTTGTGGGTCAAGTGGGTGCAGGGTCGTTTCGGCTAAAGATCAAAAGCAGCTGCGTTCTGCTCGTTTGCGGCCCACCTTCCAAACCCTAAACCCTAAACCCAAAACCCTAAACCCAAAACCCTAAACCCTAAACCCAAAACCCAAAACCCTAAACCCAAAACCCTAAACCCTAAACCCTAAACCTCCAGACTCCTGTTTTCTTGCAGCATCTCCCAGCTAAGGTGATTTCAGGGTGCTGCAGCTGCCTGGCGGTGCATACCGTACCTCGGATGCCTTTTGCGATGTAGCATTCTCGCGGGTTTAGGGTTTAGGGTCAGTCAGTCGTTTGATAGTGATGGCGGCTCACTTCAAGAACTTTGCAAGCAGCCTGCCAAGAGCTGATATGGAGGTTTTCGCAATGATTTGAAGGCTGAAGGGTTGCTATGACGCGTTGTACGGGTGCAAGATCGGAGTTTCGGCAAATAAGGCGGCCCTCACAGACCCACAGATAGGAGGATCGGTAGGATCACTAAGGCACCCGTAAGTGTAAGCAGCCCAATATCGGAGCAGTCAACACTGCCTGATAGTTATCAAACTATGCTTTAACATATCCCAGCACATTATTCTAATCATTAAAGCCCAAATCTCATATTCAGAGCTGCCCCACCACCAGGAAGCCTGCCCATGTGTCCCCAATATTTGCGATTGAAGACGACGAAGTGATGCGACTTTTGTTGGGCTTCAGGTTTGAGGGCTTTGGGTTGCAGCTTGAGGGCTTCAGGGTTTGGGGTATAGGGTTTAGGGGCGTGCGAATCTTCCGTTGTTTGTGCGTTCGCGCTTGTTAACCCTAAAACCTAAACCCTCTTTCCGATCTCCTGGAAGGTGTCGGGCCGCATTTCGACCGCGCCACCTACGATGCCACTGAGGCCACAGACGAGTCTTTGCCAGATAGCCCGGATGAGCCTGCCGCAAGCCCCAAACCCTAAATCCAGATGATGGCGGCAGATTACGGTTCACAGGAGCTGCATTACGAGCGCGGAGACTAACAACCATCATCATGGCAATCAGGTGTAGGGATGGGGTGTGCAGGTAATACAGGTTAGGTTTAGGATCCGGAGTTCCATTTACGGTTAGAGGGTTTGGGATGCTTTTGGTTAGTAATGTGGCGGTCGGTTTAATAGTAGGGTACCCCCCCCCCCGACCAAAAATAAAAATTCTATTTAATACGGAACCGGTAGCCCCGGACAGGGGTCAGGGGTCTGAGTGGCAGGGAATTGGGAGGTGCCGGGGTTTGGGGGCTGGCTTGGGTGCAGGGTCTGCGCGACTGCGCGGTCGGGGGTCGGGGGGGTCTGGGCCAGCGCCTGAAACCCTAAACCCTGAACCCTAAACCCTAACGAATCCTAAACTCCTAAACCCTATAACAAACCCTAAACCCTAAGCCCTAAACCCTTCCAAAGGGGGGTCGGTCCAGATTCGACCCAAAACTTAATTTTTCATACAAACTTTAGTACTGGAGAGGCCTCTTTTGAGCTAGGGTCCAATCCCCGATTCGGCGGTTCACCCTAGCAGCCCCCCCAATAATCAAGGTATAGTAGAATAGTAATACAGTAGTAGTACAGTAGTAGTATAATAATAGTGCAGTAGTACAATAGTAATACAACAGTAGTACAGTGGTAGTACAATAGTAGTACAGTAGTAGTACAAGAATAGTACAGTAGTACAATAGTAGCACAATAGTAGTACAGTAGTAGTACGGTTATAGTACCGTAGTACAGTAGTAGTACAGTAGTAGTACAGTAGTAGTACAATAATAGTGCAGTAGTACAATAGTAATACAACAGTAGTACAGTGGTAGTACAATAGTAGTACAGTAGTAGTACGATAATAGTACAGTAGTACAATAGTAGTACAGTAATAGTACAGTAGTCGTACAATAGTAGTACAGTAGTACACTAGTAGTACAGTAGTAGTACAACAGTAGTACAGTAGTACAGTAGTAATACAGTAATAGTACAGAAATAGTACCAATAAGCAAAGCATAAAGCCAGTGAGCACATTCCCCCAATAAGCAAAGACCCTAAACCTTAACAAACCCTAAACCCTAACGAATCCTAATCTCCTAAACCCTATAACAAACCCTAAACCCTAAGCCCTAAACCTTTCCAAAGGGGGGTCGGTCCAGATTCGACCCAAAACTTCATTTTTTATACAAACTTTAGTACTGGAGAGGCCTCTTTTGAGCTAGGGTAGATTTTCGGGCTTCAGGGCCAGGGTTTTAGGGTTGGGTGGGGGTTTGGGTGGGGGCTTCAGGTCGTGGCTGCCTTAAGATTGACCATCAGCAAACAGCACAGCCCACCACCAAAAAATCCCCCAGCCAAAAAAAAACGCATTAATTAGAACCCCGGAATTTTTGGTGGTGTTCGGAATTAGCCCCGGCCGTGACGCATTAAAGGAGCCTATATTCCTAAACCGACCTCCACATTATTGTGATTCCTGTGCTTAGAGGTTTTGCGAGGTCGCAGATGCCTTGATGCACTGGAATCTGGCTTTTCTCGGATCCGACGGTAAACCCTCGCATCAGAAGTTTCAGTAGCACCACCGCAGAAACAGGTTCCAGTATGTTCATGTATAGGGTGGAGCCAAAGTTCTGCGGGTGGAAGGTTTATTTTGACATACCTGGCCGTTGGAGGCAAGGGCGCAGCTGAACTAGAGTATGTAAGAAAAGTCCATGCCATGCGGCACAGTACCACGGTTCAGTTATCGTGTCCCGTCATGCAAGATCAATCACCATCACAGAGACCTGGATTACCTTCCCTACGACCTTCGCTGTCAGGCTCCAGAGCTCAATGTGGCGCTGGTGGGGCATGGCGCGATGATGGTAGCTTATCTCACTGTTAACATGCATTACTGTTCAGATGTTGTGCTACATCTTGAGCAAACGGCAACCACAGCCACAGCGATCTTAAACCTGCTCCCTCTCTCTGTGGCCAGAAGCAGTACCCAATACCGCCACCATGGCCCATCCATACCTCCAGAAGCACAATCGCCGCCACTGCTGACACCAGCACTGGTAACTGATGGCCAGTAACGTAGCAACAGTCCGCATAGCCCAAACAAGAAGACATTCTGAGCGGGTGTGCAGCTGAGGCCAAGAACTGCTTCGGTGGGGGTGCGTCCCCACGGAACAACGAGGCCCCTTGATTCCCTGGGGCTTCAGGTTTTGGGTTCAGCGTCCTGCACAGAGTGAAGCTTTCGCTGAAATTCTTCTGCGCAGAACTGTCCCTCGACCGCGCTTATGTAAACATCCACAGAGCCCTACCCATAGGCTCCATAGTAGTTCCTTTTTGGGACTACCTTATAGGATTCTAAATGTGCACCCCAAAAAGGAGCTACTATGGAGCCTCGAGGTAAACCCTACAATCCCAAGGGAACCCCCAGGGCCCAACTCCTCGAGCTTCCCCTTACCCGAAGGTCAAGTCCCACAAAGACGCCTTTAAAGGAAGCCTCATAGCGACCCTTCATTTAAGGGATCCTTTAAGGAACCCTTCAAGGAATCCTTTAAGGGATCCTTTAAAGGGATCCTCTAAGGAATCCTTTAAAGGCATCCTTTAAAGGAAGTCCCGTGAACCGCAGGTCCTGGAGAAGCTCTTCATCCTGGACTTCCCGGACCCGCGGGGCCGAATTGGCCTCACAGAGTTGCGGGAGCTGAAGGGCAGGCGGGGGCTGATAAGGGGGGGGGCTTCGGGGTGTAGGGTTTAGAGAGAAGGGTTTAGGGTTAGGGTTTAGGGATAAGGGTTTAGGGTATATGGTTTAGGGTTGTAGGGTTTTAGTGTTTAGGGCTAAGGGTTTTAGGAAGGTTTTAGGGTTCAGGGGTTTTGGGGGCGTCTTAGGGGTCGTAGGGTTTAGTTGATTTCAAAGCGGGGTAGACCCAAGTTTAAGTTTATGTTTTTGTGGTACTTTGGAGGATTCAGGCTTTGTGTTGTGTGAGAAGGGGGGGTTCAGGGTTTGGGCTTTGGGTGGGTTTGTTGGAGGCCCTGTTGCGTTGGGTGGAGGTATTTTTGGAGGGATACTGAAGGTTGTCTCTTGTGGTGGGTATAGGGGGCTGTTACGCAAAGGTTGTGGGTTGCAAAGGGCTTTACTGTAGGCTGTGAGTTGTTATAGGTGGAGTGTTGGGAGATTCTGTTGGCCTGGAGGGAGGAGTTTCATTCTAATCTGAAAGGTATCCCCAGAGTTCGGGATTCGTTGAGTCGGCCTTGCTAAAGCCATCGTGAGCTCCTCAGATTACTTCTTGTATCGGGGACCCACTCTTTCCTCCGGGATCCCCAAACCCACAGACGAGGCTGCAGGGAGACCTTGTTCCCCGAACCCTATAAACCTCGCTAACTCTGAAGTTGAGGGGTTAATATAGGGTAATGTAGGGGCCAAAATAATTACTAATTTTGTGGGTGCTCCTTATTATGAATCTAGTAAAATGGGCCCCTAAACCCCGTTCTAATTATTATAAGGCCCCGGGATTACAGTACCCTTATAGATCCCGTATACTAACCCTTATAGACCACTTTAAGGGAACCCTAACCCTATTCTAATCATTAAGACCCCTACATTAGGGAGTTCCCTCGGCGACCGACCAGGTGCCAGGTGATCATGACTCCACCTGAGGTTTCGCTTGACGATCTGGCAACGACAGACGAAGCTCGTGCTGCAAGTGCCGTAGTCGTAGAGGATCTGAGGTTTCGGGCGTCTTATTTCTATCCAGGACCCTCCTTTTACCCTCGAATAGGGGTATATGGTCCCAAGTAGTGGGCATTTAGGGTCTAATAGAGGGTAGATGGAGGGTCTAGGATTATTGTTGTTTTTTTGTTTCCATGACTGCTTTGCTGCCTATGGTTATTCTATCATGGCCATGGAGTGGTTGGGGTTTTGGTTTTGGGGTTTGGTCGTAAGGATGTTCGCTCTGGTTGCAAAACGGCCCGGTTGCTGCGTGAGCATGATGAAAGTTTTTGTGTTCCAACAACAGCAACTTTGAAAGTTGTGGTAGTGCGAGTTGAGCAGCGTTTTCTCAGAGAACACGTACTGTGCAGCGGTCAGATGATCACCATAGTACCATAATCTAGCAACGTGAGGGTAGTATTACCTTAAGGACCCTAAATTATGGGATCTACGGTCTATTTCTTATTATGGGTTAATGCAGGATTTATGTCATCAAACGTACTTCCAGCCGTGGCTTTTTGCGTGCCGTTTCGTGGTTCGGCCAACAGCTTGCGAAGTTCCCTTCATTTGACCTTTCACCTGGGTAGTTGTCAAAATTATGGCCCGTTTTTGGGTACCCTAAAAATTAGGTGCCGTATTAGAATAAGGACCCAAAAAGGGACCATAATTTTGACAACCACCCACCTGAGGTCAACACATGCACCGTGGGCTTCAATGTCTCTGACTTTCTCCATTTGTCGAGAGCTTCTTGGCTGAACGGGATGGTGTCGAAGCAAGATGTTTCTCCAAACCTGCATTGTGGGCTGACCTATCCCCCGTGTCTGATGGAACTGAACATGCTCACTCAATACGAATTGGGTCTAGGCTTGCTGTAGTGTCGTTGCATCCTGGTATTTAATTTAACCGTAAGCAGGATTTGGCAGCCCTATTCCTCCAGAATCCCTAAACCCTGAGCCCTGTTGAACCATCGAATGCGCGACACAAGCCGGAGAGACATGGGTTTAGCATTTTAGGGGTTTGGGGTTCAGAGGCTCAGCCCACCGAGCCCCTTGGGCCCTTTCCAAACCGAAGCCTCGCGACTCTAAGCCTTCAAGGCCCCTACCTACACCCAAAGCCCCAAAACCTGGAATGATTCAGTGAGAGCTTGAATAGTAACATAAAGCCCCTGCAGGCTTCGCGGTCTCGTTTATATCATGTTGGGGCCTTGATAATTAGAATAGGGCTTGGGGGTATATGATACCATAAATTCGCGATAGTTATGTCAAGGCCCCTACACTAGCCGGCTTCAATGCACACTAGCTGGAGCCCCTCCCACATCCAGATTACGGAAGTGTCCCAAGCCTGTGCTGAAACTCCAAGCTCTATAACAACCCTTGTAAAACCCTGGAAGAAGCCTGTACACGCAAACCCTCAAACCTTATCCTAAGCCGCCGGCCAGGCTTCTCCGGGAGACACGGCCTGTGTTGCAGAAGCGCCCGAAGCTGCCTTCCACCTGCCGAGCAAAAACGAAAACGAAGTGCATCTCAGGGCTTAGAGTCAGGTGGTTAGGGTTCTTGGTTGATGGAGGTTGTACAATTAGGGTATACGATGTCGGGCATTTCAACCCATCCAGCGCGTATCAGGGGTTTAGGGTCATGATTCGAAAGGCTACTCGAAGTTGGCGCTTCAGGAAGGTATTAGGGTTCAGGCTTCTCCAGGGCTGCAATTACCCAAGGACTGGCTGGGTTACTGGTTTATACTTTGCATGCTTAGTAAGCTGCTATTTGGATAACTGGAGCCCTGCGGTGCTACAAGTTCAAAGGATGTTGCAGTTCCGAGTTCGGAGCTTGCGAGATTCTGGGTGCAGGGCTTTGGGTTAAGGTTGGGTGTAGGATGTAGGGCTTAGGTCTTAGGGTGTAGGTTGCAGGGTTTAGGGCCTTCAATGCTCTTAGGGTTGAGTATTTAGGGTTGTGTATGCAAAGAAATCACAGAAGCATTGATGTCGTTCCCTTGTGCTTGTAGCTCCCGTAAATTGTCCGTATCTATCTATCTATCTATCTATCTGTCTATCTATCTATCTATCTATCTATCTATCTATATATATATATATATAATATATATATATATATATATATATATGTATGTATATGTCTCTCTGTCTCTCTGTCTCTCTGTCTGTCTCTCTCTCTCTCTCTCTCTCTCTCTCTGCCTGTCTACCTACCTACCTATCTATCTATCTATCTATCTATCTATCTACGGATCAAGCACCATGTTTACAAGATATGGCAGTATGCACCGGAGCCGAATACCAGACATCTGGAATAGCAGAACGGAGAAGCCCTCATGCCCAAACCCTTAGCCCTTATTCTGGTGACGGTTGGAGGCAGCCTGCGGTAGCACCGTCTTCGGTGTCGCTATTCGACAAGGGATGCCGTCCACTCAGCTTTTTGCTAGTCTACTTACATACGTGCACGCTTGCATATGATGGATGGATGGATGGATGGATGGATGAATGTGTATACATATGTACCGTGCCTGGGATTGCCTGCTTGCCCTAGCACCTCCAGAATGTCTAAGGTCTGTGGCCTTCTATGCTGCCGATCCGTCTGTCCGCAGCCTCAGTTCTCTGGCTGTCAGCTTCTTCTGGGACGCCACGCCTCGGTATGCCCAAGTGCCTATAAAGCCGGACTCTGCAACAAGAAGAGGTAACAAACGGCTGATAGTTTTTGTTCAGCGGTCGAATAGACAATCCTCAACCCTAAACTTGAAATCTGGTGCCTAGATACCCTGCCAGCCCGCCAGCAGTGCCTGAGGAGCCCTTTTCCGAAGACAACCTTCATCAGCTCGTCGACGTGAACGGTATGCTAGGCTTCGGATGATGTGTTGCTGGGTTTTGACCTCTAAGAGGTCGTATGGTTTTTCGGAGTTTAAGATCGAGGTTCAGAGTTCAGGATGTTGGACAGTGTCTAAGGAGCTTCAACTCTGAGCTTGCCTGCTGGACCTATTAAGAACTGCACAACAACCTTTTGGCAAAGATCAGCCTATTGAGCTTCATTCTACCACCTTAGAAGTTTAACTCAGAGATCGCTTTGTCGCAGAAACCTCGATCCCAACCCCTACTATCTTAATCTCTTAAAACCATAAATTCCAAACTTTCAAACCCCCAAATCCTGTCAACCTCCCGCCAAAGAATCGTGAAACCCTATACCCGTATTTTATAAGTATAAGCCTAAACTCTTAAACCCTGAAAACAGGGGGTGCTTGTCCTTACAGCACTCCACTGCTGTGCAGCTCTGGCGGCCTCCGGCACGATCACTGCCTTGGGTGCGGCCGCCGGGAGCTCGGATCTGAGGGTTTGTAGCTCAGAGTTTAGGGTTTCAAGGTTTACGGGATCAGGGT